TCTCTTCCTCTTCTTATAGAATCAGAGAATAAACAACTCTCAGTCCGCGCAGTCACTGGCGACCCCCGTGGTTTCTGTAGCGACGCCTACTCTACCGGGACAGGGAATGGGCGGCTACCCATCAGCCATTTCCACCTCATATGGTACTGGTAGGTAGAACTTGACCTGCCATAAAACTATATTCACAAACACTAACAATGTGTACACTTTGTACTATATACACACTTCACATCTGAAGCAGAATATTTAAATATTTAATATTTATTATTTTTATTGTTATATCACTTTAATGTTTAATGTTTATTAATAAATACAATTAAAAATGTTTATTTTACAAGTAATATAATAAATTACTGCTAAAATTGCAATCTAAAATACCGTTCAGTGATCTATTACTAATGATCTATTACTAATTACTGTAAAATGGCATAATTAGCATAAAGCATGAATACATTTAAACTTTTAATTTGTTTATTTATTCATTTACTTATTTCATTTTTTATGTATATTTTACTTTATTAAACCCAGACTAAATTAACGAATCTCTATGCAGGATTGATTCATTGTCTATTATGGATGTAAAAGAGAAATGATAGTAAAAGAAACAGAAATCTTGAGCTTTTCAACATAAACCATGAAATTTGAGACAGTGAATCTTACTTTGCTTAATGATTTTTTTCTCTTTCTCTTTGTAGATTTTTTTTTAAATGTGTATTTCTAATTATAACAATATTGCAGTATTAAATATAACGTTATTACTAAATATAACAATTCAACTTGTTTTTAAATCTTTGAAAATAACATGATGTGTATAGATTATTGGAATTATAATTTCTTAATTTTTCCTAATTTATTATTATGGTTTTTATTTATTTATTTATTTATTTATTGTTTGGATATAACTGCATTAAACCTACACTGAATTGCAGAATCTCATTGATTTGTCTATTCTGCATGTAATAGCTCTGTCTCTCCAGCAGGCGGAGACATTGTTATCCAAATAAGCAGCACTACAGTTTAGGATGCAAATGTTAACCCAGGTCATGTGTTTTCTCTTAGAATATTCTCTGAGCAGTGCGGATCTCTCCTCGATATCTGGCTTTAACAATGCCAACACTCTGCATCTGGGTTCAATGAGTGGATGGCAGCAGCATCAGATCCAGAACATGCAGCACTCTGCTCTCAGTCAGCTGGGGTAAGTCCAAACACAAACACACATGCACTTAATTACCTATACACATGTCAAATAGCCTGTTTGAATTCTTACACACTTAATATGTGCAACTTTCTCTCACCCTTACTGTTCTTTGTCACTGTATAGACAACTTTTCACAATTCTGCAATAGTTGAAGTGTTGTTAAAGAAATGTCAGTGTTTTGATTGTATCTTTGGCACCTGTGTACAGGAGTGCACCAGCACTCGTTCCGATCCGTAACCCCCTTCATTTCCTTTCCTTCCTACAGAAATTGCTCTAGCACTCACTTATGTCAGGGTTCAAATCTCTCCCTGCCCTCTACTCAAAGCCTGCACATCAAGTCCGAACCTGTTTCTCCTCCTAGAGATCGATCCAGCAGCACTACGCCTGCCGGCTACGGCCCGCTACCGTCCCACCAGCAGCACCAGGGCCCGCCCCCACAAGGGCGACAGGACTCGGGCCGCTCCCCGGCCGACAGTCTCAGCAGCTGCGGCAGCTCGCATGAAGGCAGCGACCGCGACGACCACCGTCCCGACTTCCATTCGCCATTAGGATTGGGCCGGCCCGGCCTGGATGAGCAAGACAGCCCATCCGTCAAGCGTGTCCGCCTCTCGGAGGGGTGGGCCACATGATAAGCCATGCCCCCCTTGGACAGCCCCATCCTCGATCTTGACCTCGATCTCCCCATGTGCTAATCATTGCTCTCCCTTATTCTCTGATTTGCTGTAGAGAGGGGAGGAAGTGCTCTCGTAATTACCTGTATTTTTGTTTTATTATTATATTATTTTATCAGAGTGTGTCTGATATACATATTGTTGTGATTGATGGGTTTTCAGGGAGGGAAGCGGGAAGGAGGACTGATACACCAGGGTTGGGGAGGGTTTAGTGGGTGGGGTTACTATGCATAACTTGTGCAGTGTGTGGAATACAATGTAAAGAATGACCATATATGCATATATATTTACACGTTGTGTAGGTGTACATGTATGCAGAGTAACAAACCAACAAAAAGTGTCAGGTACTCTTGGATCTTCTTCTACTTTTTTTTTTTTTTTGTAAAGTACATGCCTCAGTGATGTTCAGCCACAAGATGAGCACAGTAGAGAGCGTATCGCGGAGGTGACAGCTTAGCACTTGGGTTGTTGTACCAGTACAATATGTACAGATTCCTTTTTTAGTGCCACTCTCTTCAGAGGGCCCCTTCGCTAAATGTATGTTATGGGTGACAATGTCATGTTGCAGGTTCAACGTATTGTACATAGAGAAAAGGCTGGGACACGGGGGAAGGGTCAAGGTTGCTGATTTCACACAAACATAACTGTTATGCAAGAATTTCGAAGGATTGTACAGATATATGTGC